GGCCAGGCTGGTCTCAAACTCCTGGCCTCAAGTGATCTGCCCACCTCGGCCTCCCAAAGTGCTGGGATTACAGGTGTGAACCATCGCAGCCGGCCTTTTCCTTTATGGTTTGACTCTGGGACTCCCTCCCCAAGTAAAAGTCTCTCTTTTACTTGCCCAGATGTATGCCTGAGTGAGATGCAATGAGGCTCATTTTTGAGAAGCATCTTGAGGGCAAAGACTCAGACTCATTCATGAAGTGGCTGCTAGCACACGCAGTGCCTTTCTGTAAATTATAAAAAGGCACTCCCCAGCCCTGGGATGAATGAGAAAAAAATGTGCTCTTTCCTCTGGGCTGACAAAGCCTTGAAATAATGAGCATGACTTGGTCAATAGAGCATGGCTGGATTTTTGCCCCCATCTGCCCTCTGCACCCAAGCTGTTTTGTGCAGGGCACAACTTGCAAAACCAAATGCACTTCCCTACTCAGTAACATCTGCCTCCTTCACAGTGTTTGAAGGGATGGCTTCCCAAAGGAAGGGAAGTCAGGAACAGGGAGATAAACAAATAGGGAGGCAGCTTCTGCATCCCAGAAATGGGGCTGAGGCTAGGCCTTACCCTCTTCAGGTGGATTCTGGAGCATAAAGTGAGGCTAAAAGAAGGAATTCTGGCTTCATCAGGAAGAGGCTGCAGGAGGTGGGAGGCAGGTGGGACAGATCAACCGAGGTTTGAAGGAGTTCTCAAATAGTGAGGCAAGCTTTCACAGGGACAGAACGTGTCAGGGGACAAATGGAGAGGAGCCAAGCAAGAGAAGGTGTCAGTCCATCAGAATCCATGACATTCTTGGCCGGGAGTGGTGGCTCACGTAATCCTAACACTTTGAGAGGCTGAGGCGGGCAGATCACTTGAGGTCAGGAGTTCAAAACCAGCCTGACCAACATGGTGAAACCCTGTCTGTACTAAAAATACAAAAAAAATTAGCCAGGCGTGGTGGCGGGTGCCTGTAATCCCAGCTACTTGGGAGGCTGAGGCAGGAGAATGACTTGAACCCTGGAGGAGGAGGTTGCAGTGAGCTGAGATGGCACTACTGCACTGCAGCCTGGGCGACAGAATGAGACTGTGTCTCAACCCCCCCCCCAAAAAAAAACAAACTATGAAATTTCCCCTGGGGTTTCAGACTTTTCTCTCTGGGGGCTGACCCAGCCTTTTCTGGTCCCATGGCGACAGTCCTGCCTGATGCCAGCAGGAATTCAGATTAAAGTCTTGTCCCTGCTTCTCCAGCAGGTGGCAGCTGTGCTCAGGACCCAGTGGCAGCAGAGAGCTGGGCACTCCTCCCTCCATGCTGGTGGGCCTAAGGCCAGGTGACTAAAGTTGCTGCTGTCCCTGGCAGGCCCAGAGGAAAGATTGATGGCACAGGCATTGCTGGGGCTGGCCAACACAGCCATTGATTTTCATTTAGGAGAATAATTAAATATTAATTTTCACTTTGTTAAGCTGGAGAGGGCGAATAAAGCCAATGCTGACAGTATCAGAGGAAGCTAGGCCATGTTGGAGACCTGCAGATGGAACAGTGAGAGGGGGAAGATGTCCCCAGTCACCATTCTCTCCAGAACCTAAGACCTCTGTCTGCTACCTAGTTGTCTCAGGTCACAGTACAGTGGTTAAGTGAATGAGTTCTAGGGCCAGATTAACTGGGCCCAAAGTCCAGATACTCCCATTATTAACTATATGACCTTGGGCAAGTCACTTGATTCTTATGACTTAGTTTTCTCACCTGTAAAATGGGAATGCCAATAACAATACCTTATTTAGGTCTGGCACAGTGGCTCATGCCTGTAATCCCAGCACTTTCGGAAGCCAAGGTGGGTGGATCACTTAAGGCCAGAAGTTCAAGACCAGCCTGGCCAACATGGTGAAACCTCATCTCTACTAAAATTACAAAAATTAGTTGGGCACGGTGGTGTGCACCTGTAATCCCAGCTACTCAGGAGGCTGAGGCAGGAGAATTGCTTAAACCCGGGAGGTGGAGGTTGCAGTGAGTCAAGGTCACGGCACTGCACTCCAGCCTGGGCAACATCACAAGACTCTGTCTCAAATACAAACAAACAACCTTCTTTATGGAGGATTAAATGACTTATACTGTGTAAAGTGGTAGGAAGACTAGTATCAACAAATGCTCATTACTATTATTTGCTTTTCTCCTCCAGAAATCCTCGCAGTACTCTAAGGGCGTCATAGCCCTTATCTCAGGTACCCTTGGCCTCATGGAGCTCTCCAGGTGCCCCTTATCTAGCAGAGCCCTGTGTCTTGTAGAAGAGAGATGTTTTCCCTCCCAAAGTTTATCTTAATTTTTCGGGGGGGGGGTCTCCCATTTCCTTTCAGGGCAAAGCCCGGCATTCAAAGTTTCATCTTCAACTGCTGCCCTCTGTAGATCTTCCCTCCAGCTTCCCTCCATGCTCATGTGGGCCTCCCCCACAGTGCCAGCTGCATTTCACACCCACCTGTTCCATCTGTGTCTGCACCTTTACCATGCTGTTTCCCACATGGAATGTTACAGCTTATCTCATTGACTCTCAGTTCTAGCAGCAGAAGTCATTTGCTCCCATGGTTAGATGAATGATGAGTTCTACTCCTACTCCTACTAATGCTGCTGTTACTATTACTGTTACTATCACTACAACCACCAGCTAACTCGTATTAAGTGCTTATTTTCTGCCAAGAACAGCATTGAGTACTTTAGTTCACTTAATGACTTAGCTCATTTAACCATGACAACAACCCTATGTATGAGTTTAACTTTACAGATGAGGAAACTTAGGCTTAGCAGTAAAGACTTGCCCAAAGTCACAAAGCTAGTGAGTGGTGGGACCTGGGTTCACACGCAGGTCTCTCTGACTCAGGAGCTTGCGTACAGAGGATCAGTGATGGTGACAAGCTGGTGTTACTTGGCACTTAGTCCCCAAAAGTGAGGCTCAAGGTGCTTCAGTTACTGTGATTGGTTCTAGGAGCTGTCACCCCATTAAGAGCTTGATTAGCTCTTGGTGAAGCTTGCTCCATTGCTTGGCAGCTCCAATTCAGAGAAGTGACTTCTTTATACTGAGCTGAAATCAGTGTCTGTTTCTTATATTAACTGATCCGAATCTTGCCTTCTGGGGCCACTCATAGAAAACTAAACACCTCTTCTAGAATCTGAAGGTAGTTACCCCAACCCCAACAGTAGTACTTACTGAGATCTTACTCTGTGCCAGGCACTTGCTAAGCCTCAAGTAATCCTCACTACAGCCAAGTGAGCTAGGTGTTAGTATAATCCAGTCCTCATATCTAAAGAAACTGAAGCTCAGGAGTCCAAGGAACGTGCCCAGAGACACAGAACTGACAAATGGCAGAGCTGGGATTCAAATCCAGTGGGTTTTTGTGTGTGTGTGTGTGTGTGTGTGTGTGTGTGTGTGTGTGTTTTTGAGACTGAGTCTCACTCTGTTGCCCAAGCTGGAGTGCAGTGGCATGATGTTGGCTCACTGCGACCTCCGCCTCCCATGTTCAAGCGATTCTCCTGCCTCAGCCTCCCAAGTAGCTGGAACTACAGGCATCTGCCATGTCCAGCTGGTTTTTGTATTTTTAGTAGAGACAGGGTTTCGCCATGGAGGCCAGGCTGGTCTCGAACTCCTGATCTCAGGTGATCTGCCCGCCTTGGCCTCCCAAAGTGCTAGGATTACAGGTGTGAGCCACCACAATCAGCCTCAAAAACCAGTATTTTTAATTATTAGCTTATGATGCCTCCTTTTTAAAGTCCCTCTAAGCCCTATCTTCTCCAGTTAAATCATCCCAACTCCTCCAAACTATTATTCCAAATATATCTTGTGCCTTTACTTCATCCTCATCTCTCCTTTTTTTTTTTTTTTTTTTTTTTTTTTTGAGATGGAGTCTCGCTCTGTCGCCCAGGCTGGAGTGCAGTGGCACAATCTAGGCTCACTGCAAGCTCCGCCTCCTGGGTTCACGCCATTCTCCTGCCTCAGCCTCCCGAGTAGCTGGGACTACAGGTGCCTACCACCACACCTGGCTAATTTTTTTGTATGTTTTTAGTAGAGACAGGGTTTCACTGTGTTAACCAGGATGGTCTCCATCTCCTGATCTGGTGATCCACCCGCCTTGGCCCCCGAAAGTGCTGAGATTACAGGCAAGAGCCACCGCGCCTGGCCAACTTTATCCTCATCTCGTTCTTGTAGGCAAATGACTCTCTTAAATCTGAGGCCCAGAACTGGACATAGTCCCAAGTTTGGCCTGTTAATGGCATTTAAATAGTGCTCTGTTCTAGACACACCACTTCTTGGACAAGAGAAAACAAGGCTGTACAGCATGACTTGCTCTTGGTAAACCCATGCTAATTACTAACGATCACCCCTTCATTCTACCACATGGTCAGTAGGTCCCAACTTGCCTCTTGTTGAGTGATTATGCATTGGCCAAGACCAGACCAGGTACCATTGGTGCCTACAAGCCTAGCTGCCTGTAGAATCAGGTCTCCCCTAACTTTAGCCAAGTGTTTGCAGTGTGGAGGGAGGGAAGACAATCTTAGTGAGTCAAGGCACCAAAAAAAAAAAAAAACCATTACAGGAAAAGGACTAGAGAGAAGTGCCAGCAAAGACCCTAGAGAAAAAGGGATACCAGTCCAGCAGAACCTCTACCCCATCTATCTGAATACCTGCTCACACCAGTGACAAGTGACACCCAAAGCCATAATTTTAGCCAAGGTGAATAAATTCTAGCTTAGCCGACAACACTGATGCCTCTCCTAAATATGGGTGGAGCACCTGGCCCAAGGATCTTGAGCCCCTTTTTTGAGTGAGAAGATTGGATGTAACAAAGAATTTGTTGCTGTTCAGGGTATAGGAAGCCCTCTTCTAGAAAGATGATTCTGCTTCTAGTTCTTGGTCCCAACCCGCCGCCACACGCTGCTTTGGCATGCACACAGGGCACTGTCCCCAGCCTGAGGTGATTCCCACCCCCCAACCTGGAGAACTTACCCCTGGCAGGGTCTTCTGCTCGTGCAGTGCACTCTGGGCCTTGAGAGCAGAGTCCCGGGCGCAGTAGGTGAGGAAGGCACAGCCTGAGGAGGAAGAGGCTGGCTCAGGGGGTTTCCTGAAACCCCCAACTATTCTTCTTTGAAATACCGCACTAAGTTGACAAACTTAAGGCCACTCTCCTTTAAACAAGAACTCTGCTTTCTGAGAAGCCTTCTCTGCCTCCCACCTCTGGAGAGAGGGGCTTCATGTGCCTGGGGACCAGTGTCCCAGGCTCACTTTCATTTGCTCCTGGCATCCTGCCCAGAGAACATATGCACCCACACCCAGTCACATGTGCATACAATCCCACATCTCCCCTCCCCACTCCAGTCATAAGTCCTGTTGGGGTTAAACCTCCCTAAGCAGCTTTATCATCATCTTTAACCCAGACTTCCCCTTCCTTTTTGGGTTCAGACTCATGGAGTCTCCCAGGATCAGCCTCAATTCCTTCCCAACTCAGTTTCAGATGGGAGGAGGCAAAAGAGTAAAAGAAGGATTGGGGGCCAACCCCAGCACCTCCCAGCTCTTTTCCATATCTCCCTTCCCTAAGTTTGAAGCTGGGGAATGGATTGATTTGAGACTTAGAAGATGGGATTGGTTTAAGGGCTTCCCATAGGTGGTAGTTTCCAGGGACCCCCTAATCCTGTTCAAGGATCTTGATCTGTCAACCCTCCTAGGGCTTTGAGGTAGGGCTTCTTAAAGAGTTATTGTGCCCCAAATCTGGCTCCTCTAAAAGGGCCAGCAGATATGGGGCAGCGAAGAGGTCTAGGTTGAGCCAAAGTGTCAAGTTCAGCCCTCTCTTTGTTCAGCCTCAGGACCTGTAGCCTGCTAGGAAGCACTGAAGCAGCACTCTCCTCCTTTCCAACAGCCACAGAGCACTCATTCATTCAGAAAATATTTATTGAACACTTACTTATTATGGTGGGGCCTTTTGATGAGCTTGGGGATAGAGTGGCAACAAGACAGACACATTCCCTGCCCTCATGGGGATTAGACAAATCATGAGGGGCCCCTAAACGAGTCCAAAGGGTTGAGTAATGTCTCAAAGAAGGCATTGAGTCCTCAAGAACAAGAACACTGAGTCCTTAACAATCAGGTGATGAAAGGGACAGTGATTATTTCAGACAGCGGGAAAAGAATATATGAAGGCTGAATCAAGAATTTGGTGTGTTGGGGAAATGGATAGAAGGTTAGTGTGACTGGAGGCTGGTGCATGGGGGCAGAGTGGCTAGTGAGGTATGCAGGAATCAAGTCATATGTAGCCTTGTGGGCCTCAGTCAGATTTTGAACTTTTTCCTAAGAGCAATGGAGAGCCACTTTAAAGGGTTTTAAGCAGATCTGTGAGATAAGATCTGTTTTCAAAAGGAGCCTTCTGAGTGTAGGAGGGAGAACGACTGAAGGAGGAGAAAGTGGATATGGTGAGCCATTAGGAACTTGGGGCAGATTTCCACTTAGACCTCAGCAGATTAGAAAGGCAAATGGAACCATTTTTTTTCTGGCCTCTTCTACAGTGCTGCCCCCTTCAGATGGGTTTATTGTCGGCCAATTCATTGAGGTAAAGGGAACTTAGAGAACTGAGCAAAACTCTTACCATATCAACAGGGAAACTGAAGCCCAGAGAGTGGGTCAGTGGCAGGGCAGGATTTGGAATGTCTTAACTCCCAAGCTGGGGTTGTTTTCAAAGCACTTGGGTAACAAGTGGCTGCCTGCCTCGGTATCCAGCCATCAAAAGGAAAATGAGTCACTGTTGCTGGGGGGAGGATGAGGAAGGTGTTGACTTGGAGACCCTCCACAATCATCTTGGAAGGCAACACTTGCCTTGGAGAGTTTTGATTTAGTTTGGAAATAAATCACCAAACACCTGATTCCACTTACATCCCTGCTGTGTCTTTTGCCACCAACCCATATCATCCGACATCCAAATCGGGCAGGGTTGCCTGTCTGAAAGGCTCAGGGGCCCAGTTGCTGCCTAAAGAAGCCCCATGTGGACTAGCCAGGATGGAGGGTGGAAGAATGAGGGGAAGAAAAGACAGAAAAGCATGGTTTGAGAGACAGATGAATGAAAGTAACAGGCAGAATTAGAGCTAAATGAAAAGAGAGAGGATGAGGGAACAGTTCAGGGACTCTTGATAGTAAGAAGAGTGAGATTTAAGGGTATTCTATACACTTCCCTTATTGTACAGATGGCCTACAAAGATTAGCTTTGTACTTACATACTGAAATCAATGTCTAAAAATAAGAAAATGAGTTGCTATAGAGGGATGGACAGACAGGCAGGTAGTGGGAGTGCATTAGAAGGAATCTAGATGGTGTGGTATTGTTCTTTCACACACCCGTTAACACAACCCCACCCCAAAGGGTGGAAGCTGTACTCCTAGCCGGATGGTCCTAGCCCTTTTATTGGCATTTTCTCGAAGTGCCTACATTAGTGTGCCGAGGAACCCCACAAGGCCTCCCAGTTGAAGAGGTGGCAGTCTGATTCCAGCTCTCAGTCCTTAGGAATGTACCTTTAGCTGTTACCCAAGGCCCACCACTCCTCTCTTAGGAAGATCGTGGAGGATAGTTGGTGACTCTTTCCCAGCAAAAATGTGAAACCACAGCATGGTGGTGGTGCGGGGGGAGGATATAAGAGGGTTTCTTCTCAAATCATCTCCCCTTCTCCTGCCCATGTACGACATGTGTCTCTGGCTCTCTTACTCCAGCCCTGCCTGGACAGACTTTTCTGCATGTAAACAAGCCTCCTCCCTCTCTCTACAGGAAGAAAGGGGTGTGGCTGAACCGTGGTGCCTGTGTCTCTCTAGAAAGGGCGGGGAGAAGATCTCCTTCTGTCTCTTCAGCCTGACTCACCCTGAGAATGGGTCTGGATTGTGACCAGCCTGTGAGGGAGGGAAAGAAGGAGGCCATAAAGAGGATTGGGGAGGAGCAAAGAAGAGGCACAGGAGTGGGGGGATTAGAGAAGGAAAGAAGTGTGGATTCAGCTGAGGGAAATCCAAGAGGAAAGGGACACAGGGTGGCAGGAGTTCCCAGCTGAGGTCAGGGTTCTGACCTGGAATCAGAAGAGGTGGAGAGCATTGGGATTCTGGTGAAGGGCAGGAAAGATTGGGGCTGTTGCTGAACATGAGGGGTTATTTGGAACTGAGAGCCTCCTGGGAACTGAATTGGATTTTGTGTTAGACAGGTCTGGGTTCTGAAGAAGGGGAGGGTTTGGGTCTCCAGTGCTTTAGGTTGGCAGTCTGAGAGTCAAAAGAAGGCTCTTGAGGGGGATGGCTGGACTAGGAGGCCAGAAGGAGGGGTGCAAGTCCAAGATATGCATGTGAGTGGTTAGGCCTGAGTGAGGCACCACCAGTTGGAGGATTCAGGAATGTTTGGGTTCAGGGTTTGGGAAATTGAGGGTATTCGAGATCTAGAAGGTGGAGTAAGTTTTCAAATTCCGGAATTTTAGGTCTGATGGGAGAGGTGGAGGAGAGGTCCCACTGAAAGGCAGGGACTGCTGGGATGTGAGAGGTGGAGGCCAGGAATTTGGAGGTTAGAGTGGATAACATGTTAGGGGACCACAGTGATAATCAGAGGGAGGATGTCAGAGAGAAAATTCTGTGATCTGGGAAGGGGGCTGGGCTGAGGTGGGGCTGATGTTGGACTGGTGTTGGACTGGCTCTCGGCAGGGCTAGGGCTGGGGCAGGGCTGGGGTCGGGCCACACTCTAATCGGACTGGGGTTGGGCTGGGCTGGGCTGACCCCGCGCACCTTTGTGGAGGCCGGTGAGCCGGTCCTTCAGCACCGTCAGCTCGTAGATGCGGCCGAACTCCTCGAACAGCGGCTTGAGGTCCTGCTCGTCCAAGCCCCGCGGGATCTGCCCCACGAAGAGCTTGATGGCGTCGTGGTCCTTCATGGGCACGGCGGGGCCGGGATGTAGCCCGCTCATGCCGACGCCGCTGTCCGCGGTGCTGAAACCCAGGCGCGGGCCGGGGCCAGCAGGCTGCGCTGACCCTCCCGGCGCCGCGGCCATGTCCCCGCCCTGTCCGCCCTCCCGCTGGTCCCACCGGTCCCGCCTGTCCCGCCGTCCCCTCCCTGGACCGGTGGCGAGGGCCAGGGGGAGGGGGCGGGGCCCGGGCGGAGAGGGCGGAGGGGCTGCCCAGGGGGCGGGGTCCGGGCGGAGGGGCGTAGAGGGGGTGGGGCGGGCTGGAAAGGGGCGGGGCCGGGGCGGGGCGGGCCCGGGCCGAGGTGGCGGCGGGACGCTGGGGTCTGGCTTGAGGTCCCCGTGCGGCTCTCTCTGGGCTCCCGCCCGAGCTCTCCCGGAGCCGAGCCCCGAGCCCCAGCCCCCGTGCTTGGTGACGTCAGACAGCTGGCCGCCGAGTCTACGCAAATGATTTGCATAATAAGGAAGCACGGCCAATCAGAGTGGGAGTTGACTGGGCTCGCCGGGGGCGGGAGGGGCGGCTGGGCTCACGCGCTCCTGCTTGCCATGGCAACCGGACCCTCGAATGCCCTGTGTGTCGAGTGTGTGCGGGCGTGGCCGTGGATCGCGCGTGTGCGCCTTGGGCCGCGTGAGGGGAAGCAGCTTCGTCATGCGTGATGGTGTCTGCCAGAGTTGGAGCTAATCCCCACTGCACACACTGGCATACACAGGCACACGCAAGCACGCACACCTCCAAAGGCTGGAGCGTTTCCTGCGGGGGTGGATGGGGATTCCTCTTCTCCATTCCCACTATCAAGCCAGTCCCTCGGAGCCAATCCCACCCCGCCCCATCACACATCTCTGTCTTTGGTGTCTTTAACCACTTTCTTACCCCTGAGCCTCAAACACGTTCGTCTCCCTTGCAGCCTTAAAAAGAAAGAAAGAATAAAATAAAAACCCCTTAAACACTCCTTGAACACGGATTCCTCCTTAGGAGAGTGAGGGAACTTAGCCGTATTTACTCAGAACCCGTTATGCACCAGGTGCCGGGTTCATCCCAGTTCGGTGAGTTCAGGAGTGTTCTCTTTTTCCGGAAAAGGAAGCTGAGGTTCTGAGGGTCGAGCAGGTTAGGGCCAGGCCCACCCCAACATTTGTTGGGCCCAGCGCAAAAGAAGAAATGGAAATCGACATACTGTGTGTCTAAATATTTAAAAGATACAAATCAAATTACAATTTGTTAAATATGTTCCCCTCTTATTTTCACAAATACAGGTTCAGAATTACGAAAATGAAAGACACACATACAGCTACGCTTTTTATATGACTGAAAGTTGGCAAAATATCAGAGCTGACGGAATTTTATTACTCTTGCACATGTCTAGGTGTTCTCTTCATGGATCAGTGATGTTTGCACAAAGTAGTAAAACAATGTTTGGACAAAGATGCATACTTCATAAATTATATATTTATTCCATAATGTATTTTTCATGCCTCTTTCAGTAAAATTGCTAATTTTTTAATAGAGATTTCCTTTTTTTTTTTTTTTTTTTTTTTTTTTTTGACAGGTTCTCATTCTGTCACCCAGGCTGGAGTGCAGTAGTGCGATCTAAGATCACTGCAATCTCAACCTCCTGAGTTCAAGTGATCCTCCCACCTAAGCCTCCCGAATAGCTGGGATGACAGGTGCACGTGTACCATGCCTGGCTAACTTTTTTTTTTTTTTTTTTTGCTAGAGACTGAGGTTTCACCATTCTGCCCAGGCTTGTCTAGAACTCCTGAGCTCAAGTGATCCACTCACCTTGGTGCCCCAGAGTGCTGGGATTACAAGAGTGTGCCACTGCACCTGGCTTAATAGAGATTTTAACGTAACTTGTGTCCATCGACTATTCTAAGAAACTGCGCGAGACCAGCAGTAGCAACTGGAATCATCAAAAAGTTCTTAAAACAATACTCAATTCAGAAGCAAATAATGATTTTTAAATCATTTATTTTTCTGGCTGAGCTTGGTGACTGACACCTGTAATCCCAGCACTTTGGGTGGCCAAGGCGGGCAGATCACTTGAGGTCAGGAGTTCGAGACCAGTCTGGCCAACATGACAATATCCCATCTCTACTAAAAACACAAAAATTAGCCAGGATTGGTGGCCGGATCCTGCTACTCTGGAGGCTGAGGCAGGAGAATCGCTTGAACCCAGGAGGTGGAGGTTGCAGTGAGCCGGGATCGTGTCACTGCACTCCAGCCTGGGTGATAGAGTGAGACTCCATCTCAAAAAAAAAAAAAAAAAAAAAAAAAATTGCAGCAGCAAATTATGATTTTCAAAAATTATCTTTCTGGTAGGATGTGGTGGCTCACACCTGTAATCCCAGCACTTCGGGAGGCCGAGGTGGGTGGATTGCTTGAGATCAGGAGTTTGAGACCAGCCTGGCCAACATGGCAAAACCCCATTTTTACTAAATGAATAAATAAAATAAAATAAATTATTTTTCTCCTTTAATAGAAAGTTACTCCTTGTAATAAGCTGACCATGAAATGGGTTACTGGAACATTTCATTTTCATTCAGTCCTATGTAATTTTTTTTTTTTTTGAGATGGAGTCTTGCTGTGTCGCCCAGGCTGGAGTGCAGTGGCCCAATCTCAGCTCACTGCAAGCTCTGCCTCCCAGGTTTATGCCATTCTCCTGCCTCACCGTGTTAGCCAGGATGGTCTTGATCTCCTGACCTCGTGATCCACCCGTCTCAGCCTCCCAAAGTGCTGGGATTACAGGCTTGAGCCACCGCGCCTGGCCCAGCCTTGTATTTTTAGTAGAGATGCAGTTTCACCATGTTGACCAGGCTGGTCTTGACCTCCTGACCTCAAGTGATCTGCCTACCTCAGCCTCCCAAAGTGCTGGGATTACAAGTGAGAGCCACTGTGCCCGGCCCTATATGCTTGCTGATTTTGTCTAATAGTTTTATCAATTGTTGAGAGAAAGGTGTTGAAGGCTTCAGTTGTAATTGTGGATTTGTCTATTTCTCCTTTCAGTTCCATTAGTTTTTGCCTCACATATTCTGTAGCTCTGTCATTTGGGGCATAAACATTAAAAACTGTGATGCCTTGGTGAATTGATACTTTTATTATTATGTAATGTCACTCTGTTCTTGGTAAACTTTTTGCATGGAGAGTTACTTTGATATTAATATAGCCATTTATGTTTTCTTTTGATTAATCTTTGCAAAATAAACCTTTTTCTATCCTTTTACTTTCAAGCTACCTATATAGTTGTATTTAAGTGAGTTGATTTTAGACAGCATATAATTGGGTCATTTTTTTAAAGTCCATGCTACCAATCTTTGTCTTAGTTGACATATTTAGACCATTTACATTTAATGTAATTATTGGCATTACAGGTATGAGTCTGTAATTTACATTTACATTTAATTAACATTTACATTTAATGTAATTATTGGTATGTTAGGGCCTAAGACTGTCACTTAATTTTTTGTTTTCTTTTTGTTGCCTCTGTTCTTCATTTCTCTTTGCTTTATCTTTCTTCTTGTTTTTAGAGATGGGGTCTTGCTATGTTGCCCATAATGGTCTCAAACTCCTGGCCTCAATCTTTCCAACTTAGCCTCCCAAGCAGCTATGATTACAGGCTTGAGCCACTACACCTGGTTCATTTCTGTTTTGTTTTTCCTGTGCTCTTGTGGATAAAGTGTTTCTTATTCTATACATACATAGCTTATCACAGTCTACTGGTATTGACATTTTGCCAGTTTGAGTGTAGAAATCTTACCTACTGTTAAGTCCCTTTATCCTCCCCCATTTATAATTATCTTAAGTACTTCCTCTATATATTTCAGAACCACTTTAGACAATGTTATCCAATCACCATTTATAAAAAACTCCAGAAGCATTAAAGTCTATGGCATTTACCCATATTTTCCTTCTTTCAGTTGTTTTTTCTTCCTTTCTGATAGTTCAAGATTCCTTCTTTTATCATTTCCTTTACATTTTAAGAACTTCCTTTAGCCATTCTTTTAGAGTAGTTATGTTGGTGACAGATTCTCTAAGTGTTCCTTCATCTGAGAATGTCTCGATCTCCCCTCCATTTCTGAAGGATACTTTTGCTGGATATTGAATTTTGGTTTGACAGTTCTTTTCTTTCATCGCTTGAAAAATGTGCCACTTCTTTCTGGCCTTTGTAGTATCTGATGAGAGATCCTGTTTTTCTCTTATACATAAGATATTGTCATCTCTTTCTCAATTCTATGTTTGTCTTTAACTTTCAGAAGTTTGATTATCATGTGTCCTGATATGGATTTCTTTGGCTTTATCCTGTTTGGGGCTCACTTTGTTTCTTTAATCTGTAGCTTTACATCTTTCACTAAATTAGAACAGTTTTCAGCCACTATTTCTTCAAGTACTTTTTAAGCCCATCTCCCCTCTCCTCTCTCTCCATGACAGGAGTGTTAGATCTTTTGTTATAATCCCATAGGTCCCTGAGATTCTATTTTCTTTTAAGTCTATTTTCTCTCTGTTGTTCAGATTGGGTAAGTTCTATTGTTCTATCTTCAAGTTCACTGATGCTTTCCTCTATCATTCTCTATTCTGGCATTGAATCCATTGAGTTTTTCATTTTGGTTGTATTTTTTAATTCTAAAATTTCCTTGTGGGCCAGGTTTGGTGGCTCACACCTGTAATCCCAGCACTTTGGGAGGCTGAGGCAGGCAGATCACCTGAGGTCAGGAGTTCGAGACCAGCCTGGTCAACATGATGAAACCCTGTCTCTATTAAAAATATAAAAATTAGCTAGGTGTGGCAGCATGTGCCTGTAGTCCCAGCTACTTGGGGGACTGAGGCAGGAGAATAGCTTGAACCAGGAGGTGGAGGTTGCAATGAGCCAAGATCATACCACTGCACTCCCATCTGGGCAACAGAGCGAGACTCTGAAAAAAACAGATTTCCATGTGGTCTTCATTTACATTTTCTATTTTTTTCTAAGACTTTCTATTTTTCCATTTGTTTCAAGTGTGTTTGCAATTGCTTATGATGCATTTCATGATGGCTGCTTAAAAATTCTTGACAGATAATTCTAATATGTGTGTCATCTCAGTGTTGATGCCTATTGATTGACTTTTCTCATTAAAGTTGAGAGTTTCTCGATTCTTAGTATAATGAGAGATTTTCAATTGATTCCTGAACATTTTGGGTATTTTATTATGAGACTCTAGATCTTATTTAAATGTTATATCTAATTTAAACATGTTTAGCAGGCCTTCTTTGACCCCCAACTAATGAGGAAACAAGGACACTACCTTGTTATTGTGAGATAAGGGTGGAAGTTAAGGTTTCCTACTAGGTCTCTGCTGAAACCACCTCGAATGAAAGGGAAGGTGGCCTCATTACTGCTGGGCGGGAGTGAAAGCTTCCAATTAGAGACTCCTATGATGTTACTCTATCAAGAAGGGAGAAGAGTCCCATGTGGTCTCCACTGAACCCATAAGGGGCGTATCTGTTAATGCTGGGTGGGTATACAAGTCCTAGTTCCTCGTTTGACATTCTCTGATGACACCTTGATGGCAGGTGGGAGAAGGGGCCTTGTTACATCCATAGCCTAGACTAGTTGAATCAGAATTGCTGGGGTAGGACTCAGGCATCAGCATGTTTTAAAGCTCCCTTGTTGAATCCAATGTGTGTGGAAGCAAGGTTAAGAATTACTGCTCTAGAACTTCCTTTAGTCAAGAGACTGTTGGTGATAAGCTCTGCTTTGCTTATCTGGAAATTCTTTATTTCGAGTCACTTCTTGAATAATAACTTAGTAAATATATAATTACAATTATTTTCTCTTACTTTTACTTTGAAGATATTATTTCACCATACTTTGGTTTCCATTTTTGCTTATGAGACATCAACTAGCAGTCAATTTGCAGGTACTTAGTGTTTCCCT